CTATACACTGATCAACATCATACTGAGTATAGTTATTAAGATAATAATATGTAATTGTATAAAAATATTTAGTTTTGTTATTCGGTTTATATTTGACATGCATGGAACAAGTGAATGTACTGAAACATAGTCAATTTATTAGGAAACTTGATTTACTATACACTGATCAACATTATACTGAGTATAGTTATTAAGATAATAATATAATTGTATAAAGATATTTAGTTTAGTTATTCGGTTTATATTTGACATGCATAGAACAAGTGCATGTACTGAAATGTAGTCAATTTATTAGGAAACTTGATTTACTATACACCGATTAGCATCATATTGAGTATAGTTATTAAGATAATGATGTAATTATGTGTAGATAATAATAGTTTATTTATTTGGTTTATATTTAACATGCATAGGACAAGTGCATGTACTGAAATATAGTCAAATATAGTTATTTTAATAATAATAATTAATTGAATATATGTACCCCTATAGGGGGTTATATATTAAAAGTATATATTATATAATATAAAAGATATATAATTACATGTACGAGTATTTATAAAAGTTAGTACACTTTACACGTATTTACAAATGAATAATTATCTAATTACAATTTACAAATTTGAACAGTCTATATATAACATATGCATTTAAATAATATCTAAAAAGTAATACCATTAATCCAACAGAGAACAATTCCAATAAAAGTATAAAAATCAAACTCAATCGAGAATTATCCTATAAATTAAAACGAAAAGAAAAAAAGAAAGATAAAGACTTAGAAAATATTCTAGAATATTTGATCATCAATCTCAAATAATATTTTTAATACCTACAAACTAATACCATTAATCCAACAGAGACCAATTCCAAGAAAAAGAAATATTAATCAAATTTATCTTGCATTATCCTATAAATTAAAAAAAAAAAACAGAATGATCCTATCAATCTCTAATACCATTTAAAAAAGAAATATCATATGAAATACAGGTGATCACCATCATCATCATCAGACTAAACTCTTAAGAGGAAAACAATGTTGAAATCTAGGTGGAGATGAATCAAAAGGATGCAACGTTTCCAATGACACTATTCTCGTTTACCATTGACGCTCTTGGGGGATTGGCTATTGACGTTGTTGGCTTCTTCTCATCCGTCGTTGACGGATACTGAAGTGATTAGTCCCTTTTGTGACCGACTATGTCAGAGAATTGGATAATGGATGATCTACTATTATGGCTCTTGACTAAGTGGACCTAACCGTTTCCAATCTGGTACTCACTCACTCACTAATACTCACTAATACTCATTCTTATTCATTCACACTCATTCTTATTAACTCACACTCATTCTCATTTTATTTCTATTCCTATATCCATACAACTATATTAATCTACCTATCTATCTATCTATCTCTTTCTTACTCTTATTACAAAATAGGTATATAACTCATATATATACACATATTCATTCTTTCGTCCTCCAGATATTTTTCTTATTCTCCTATAACATTCGTTTTACCCTCCAAGTGACCACCGATCGACTATCATAACCAGCAAACTATCCAATCAAGTGTACCATACGAGGAAGATGACTCTCGATACGACAGTTCAACGATGGCTATGGTTCCATAAGGTTCCTAGCCAAAGAGAAACCTACACTCTTTATGATATCCTATCATTTTCCTCTCAAGGTCAACTCGATCAGACTGCTAACTCCTATCGATAAAAAAATAAGCAAAAAAAAGGAAGAATCAAAGGAAATATTAATAAGAATTTAAATAAGAGGAAAAATTATATTGTGTGTACTCGTTATTTGAACGGTTCTTTTGTTTTCTTTTTTTTTTTTTATTTGGAATATATATATATATATATGTATATATATATATGTATTAGTGAAGTGAATATTTATTTGAAATATATTAACGTATTATTCAACATGTGGAAAAAAGTAATCCTCGTTGGATTATTATTCGTTTATTCGATAAATGAATCGAATAAA